AGCCACAGAAAGACAAATACCACATGTTCTCATTCATATATGGGAGCTAAAAAAGTTGATCTCACAGAAGTAGAGAATAGAAGAGAGCATACCAAAGCCTAGGAAGGGTAGGAGGAGGGGGCACGGGGAGAGGTTGACTAATGGGTACAAAATTACAGTTAGAAGGAATGATTCCTTCTATCTAACTGTAATTCCTTCTATCTAACTGTAATTCTAGTGTTATAGGGTGTGTTATAGGGTTCTAGTGTTATAGGGTGACTATAGTTATAGGGTGACTATAGTTAACAATAATTTACTGTTTATTTCAAAACAGCTAGAAGAGAGACTTTTGAATGTTCCTAACACAAAGAAATGGTAAATGTTTGAGGTGATGAATATCTCAATTACCCTGATTTGACCATTGCACATTTTATTTTTTTTTTATTTTTTTATTTTTTTTACTTAAGTTTGCGAGATCTGAACATTGCACATTTTATACGTGTATTATATGTATACATGAACTATCACATGTACTCCATAAATATGTAAAATTATTATGGATAATTTTAGAAAAAGAATGCAAAGAATTATTTGCATTGAGTAAAATGAAAAATAAATTTCAGATCTCTTTATTATTTAAGAAGCAGGTGAATCAATCATCTTTACTTTCTCTAGATATAAAGCCAAATTCCAAACTGATAATTTCGTTTGCCTCCTAAAAATTGTCCTTTTCTTGACATCTTCCAAAGCATTTATCTTCCTATGTTCTCTTCCTTTCCCCTTCTCCCTTCTCCTCCTTCCTCTTTCTTCCCCCTTTCTCTTCCTTCCTTCTTTCCTCCCTCCACTTAAAAAAAATTTTTTTAAAGGATATCCAGGTTTAATTTTCCCAATTATAGTTATGGTTCCCTGATATGCATCTCTTTCTATTTTCAACCACTGAGAATCTATTTTGCTAAAATGTCAGAGTTTACTCATGTATTTGCCCTTTATGCATTTGGAGAAAAGGATTTTTAAAAAGTCACACAATCCTCAATCCCCACTCAAATAATAAAAGCTGCCTACACTAGTAATACAGAGTGGGAAAATATAATGAATAATAAGAATCCATTGATATTAATAGTGGTAACCAAAATTAAATACTGGATATTATTTTAACTAGACAAACTCTAAAACCCTAATGATACTGAAGACTTGTTTTTATAACATTGATAAGGTTTTGAACTTTTATGTCAGTGGATCTGGGCCATCTGGATGGTTTCCCACAGAGCAAGCTGGAACTGTCTTGATATCACTCATGCACAGGATCAAGCATAGGCAGAATGCAACGAACATCTTGAAGGGAGAACAGATTACTTGCACATGAGGCAGATCTTTCTACACAACAGTATGATCCCGGAGTCAATGTCATAGATTTTATTTGCTTTTATTTTGTTATCATGATGAAAAATAAATTTGCTATTTTTACACTGTTGTGTACACTACTGTTTACAGAACAAAAAGAACTATGACCAATTCACATGACAGATTTTGTGTACTTTGGGAATCCTATGTTCCTGAGCATTACAGAATTATTGCTCCTCTGGGAAACCGTGGGAGATACATGGTACCCTCCACCCCACTGCTTTCACCCACATCATGATATTGAACTTCACACCACTAGGGAAATGTGGTAATTCTTGTACCCTTAGCTTGGTGAAAGGACTTGTAATTGTTGCATATTGTGTTTATTTGTTTAGACTTAAGGCTGAAGTCATCCAAGCAAGGTCTTGTTTTCATCTCTAAATCTCAACACTTAGCTTGCAGAGCCAGGCCAACAGGCAGTGAGAACCCAAGAACATTTTGTGAAATGAGCACCTCAATATAGAAACCCTTTAGACAGAACCAGTAGCACAGCTTCTTGGAGTTCAGGTTTATTTAGGAAGTTGGCATTTAAGGCCTCTTTTGTTCTTTACTCTTAGTGGTTCTTTTTGTTTTTTGTTTTTTTTGAGACAGAGTCTTGCTTTGTTGCCCAGACTAGAGTGAGTGCCATGGCATCAGCCTAGCTCACAGCAACCTCAAACTCCTGGGCTCAAGCAATCCTTCTGCCTCAGCCTCCCGAGTAGCTGGGACTACAGGCATGTGCCACCATGCCCAGCTAATATTTTCTATATGTATTAGTTGGCCAATTAATTTCTTTCTATTTATAGTAGAGACGGGGTCTCGCTCTTGCTCAGGCTGGTTTCGAACTCCTGACCTCGAGCAATCCGCCTGCCTTGGCCTCCCAGAGTGCTAGGATTACAGGCGTGAGCCACTGCACCCGGCCCTCTTAGTGGTTCTTGAAAGCATTTTTATTGTTCTTAGTTTTGATGTGATAATTTTCCTTATCACACCCCACTCTAATATTAGGATCTTTAGCTTTTTTGACATGATACTAACACTTAACCTCTCTTAATACTCTTAAAATTGTGTGTTCTCATTTCTATGCCCAAGCAAGTTTTGACTTACAACTTAGAATTGAGTATTTAAGTCTACATACTATTCATGAGAAAGTGAGCAGAATTGTTTCCCAAAAAAAGTTAAAAGAACTATCTCTTGCGTTAGTGGTTTTAACAGAAGGTGAGAGGTTTTAAACTTTTTTTCCTTTATGGTCTTGGCAAAGCAATTATTTGGAAAAGTTACACATAAAAATAATATTATTCTGGATTGGGGGCAGAAAACAAATAATATTGTTCTAGCAAATCATACACTGTTGTGTGTGTGTGTGTGGGGGGGGGGATAGAGATGGAGATTGACAATGCTCTAACTGTAGACATTCATTCCACATTTAAATATTTAGAATTTTCAGTGGCCTGTGAATACAAGAAAATTTATTACATTAGGGTAGACTTTAAAGAGTTGACATGTAGCTGATATTTTCACAGTGTGAGAAATATCAAGCTGACATTATGCTGTCTCTGTGATGATTATTTCCAAATGTCAGAGTGCAGAAACATATTCATGGGACTTCAGGGCCTTAGTTAGGATGGTGTCAATTTAAAAGACATTCATATCAACTTTTTTTTATTTCAACATGAAGTATGAAAAGCAGGTTAAGAAATCAACAGAGAGAGGAAGAACAAAGAAGAAACCTATTGACAAGAAAATTTTAAATTATAGATTGATGTACTCTCAGATAAATTTCGAAGGACCCCTTGCTGACAGCAGGCTTCAGCAACTGCCTTTTAATACTTCTGACAGCTGTAATCTTGCTGTTCATATTATTTCACTCAAATCACTTATATTACATTTGAAAAATTAAAAATAGGATAAAAACTATTATGTTATAGACTATCTTTAATAAATAAGTCAAATAACTAAATTATTTGACTTCAAGTAGTAACACTGGACTTCAAATTAAAATCAAATAACTTTGTGATATTTTAAATTAAAAATTTATTCTTTTGTTCACCAATCTCTTTAGCAGTTAATTATGAACCTACTGAACTGCTTAAACTTCTGCTATTTTGGAAATAACTCAAAGGAGTTTTTTTTTTTTTTTAATCATTTGGCCACATCAGGGATAACTATGAGTTTAAATAAACCTTTGTCATTCCAATTATGTGCACAGCAGTGCTCCTAATTACTTGGGGTCACTGAAATCCCATGGCATCCTCTGAAAAGCATTTCCTCTGCAGACCATCTTGTTAGGTTTCTTTTCTGTTCCAGGAAGCCAATATCTTTTCCTCTTTCAAATCCCTTTTTTTTTGGGGGGGGGGCAACAGTGGAAATGATGGTGGTAACATGGATTCAGAGTCTTAAAATCAGGCCACTTTGTTCTGACTTCTGTAGGTCACTGTGTAGCTACCTAAATTCCCTGATTTATCTCATATAACGTTATTTCTGATACAAACAAAAGTTCAGGGACTTCCCTGAGCAACAACAGCTGCTTTTGGGGGCTGCCAAATTTTAAACTGTTACTCGAAAATCCAAAGGACAAGCCAAACATGCTGAGAGACAGAACTACTACAGAGGAGCATTGTAATCTTGTTCCCTAAAATGAAAGCCCAGAAAGAACGCATGGCTAATTCTGTCCTCCGATTGGTATTGCTCAAATTTTAAAATTCAGGTGCTGGATTCAAGGATCATAATTTCATTACGCATCGAGAGTCACACGGGTGACTCAAGTCACCCATTGTACTGTACGCATCGAATACCCCAAAACGAAAACACTGAAGAGCTGGCGTTTGCCAGTGTTTACGCTCTGGGACCATACCGCCAGGGGCCCGGGAGTCCGCCGGCCGCGTCCAGGAGGGCCCTATGGTCCCCTGTGAAGGCAGGAGACAAACGGGAGCGTCGGGACTTTGCTCCCAGGACCCTGGCGCAGAGTTCCCCTCAGGGCCAGGGCCGCCCCCGTCGAGGCCTTGAGAAAGAAGGCCAGGGCTGGCAGGCCGACCCTGGCCTCCGCACCCGCTGTGGGGAAGAGGTCCGGGAACGAGGACCTGTCCGGAGTCCCAGCGCCGGTAGCGGCTCGGCGTCCCGGAGGCCGTTACTACCCGGACCTTTTCTGGGGTTCCCAGACCGCCTGGGGCCCTGACGGCTCCACGAGGGCGGAGAATTTCGTCAGTGTTGTTAACTGTGCCGTATCTCCAACACCTAGTTCAGTCCCGAGCCAGACGCGGCTCGCCTCCCCGTCTGTTTCTTTTCTCGCCAGCCGCCACGTTCCTCCCGCCCCGTTTATCCTCACCCCCCGCGGCCCGCGGCCCACTCTGGGCAGGGATGTGAGCGCCCTAAACCTGGGGCTCAAGTTAGAGGGTGTCAGGCTTTGCTGGGAGGCCTCCTTCGGCTCAGGAAAGCCGCTGGTGAGCTGGGCTGTGGTCTCACGTAGAGACCCAGACGCCAGACCTCTGGCCTCCTCGGAAAAAAACCCTAAACCACCCAGCGTGCGGATCCTCCAGCGTGGAGTTACGGGGCCCGAGCTTCTGGGCGGGACTCCCGAGGCCCCGCCTCCTGCCCCGCCCCGCCCTCCCCGCCGCGTTGGCGCGCGGCGCCCCCTGGTGGCCGCCTGGCCGCGTTGCTCCCGGCCGGTGGAGGAGGCGGCGGCGGCGGCGGAAGGGGAAGCGCTGGGGCGGCGGGGCCGAGCGGCCATGGCGGAGCCGGTGCGGGAGGAGCTCTCGGCCCTGGCCGCGATTTTCTGCGGGCCCCACGAGTGGGAGGTGCTGAGCCGCTCAGGTGACTACCCCCACGCGGGAGGGACACGGCGCCCGTGTGCTCTCCGCGGCGCCCTCTCCTCCCCACCGCGAAGCCGGGGCCCACGGTTGGGGGCCTGGTTGGTGGCCTGACGGAATGACCCGCGCCGGGGACTGGAGTTGCGCCGGGGCGGGCGCGCGTGCGAGCGGCCCACGCGTGGACCCTGCCGGTGCAGCGGCCGCCGCGCCGCGACTCGCCGAGCTTGGTGACCTGCGCCCCCGCCCTGAGCGCGCGCCCCCACCCCTTTGCCAGCCATGCTTGAAACAAGGCCTCTGCGGACACCTAACCCCCCTTTGAAATCCAGCTTCCCCAGGTTGTTTTATGTCCTCCATAAGCACTATGCATTAGGCCTTTGAGGGCACTCACCCCAGTTTTAACTCTACTTGGGTATTCGGTCGTCTTAAGTTGCACAAGGACAGGGACCCTGTCTGTCTTGTAATCACAAGACTCCAGGCACTTAGAACAACAGTGCCACCCAGGCACGTGGTAGATAAACAAGAACTGTTCAATGAGCTTTTGAGTTGTCCCACTGCTCAACCTCAACCTTATTTGCGTTCTACTTCCAAGTTGATTGCTTTTTTTCATATTTTTTTAAACAAGTTTTTAGGGGTACATTAATCATTCAGCCCACATTTGTTGAATATCCGCTCTGTGCAAACATTGACAGGGTTTCAAAGGCACTGCCCGTGTCCTCTAATAGCTAAAACTTACTCTGTCTCTGTCTGTGGCCTTTACTAAGTAACAAAGAAAACCACCACTTATAGGAAAGTGCAGTAATGCAGATAATTCTCAGTTTCACTTAATTGCCTTAAAATTACTTTACGCACATTTTCGGGGGCATGAGATTTATCCTTCTGATGTTAGGTTGTAGCTATTATTAAAATTGTCTGTCTGACTGTAAATTGGTTGACCTTTAAGAAGGTAGTCTAAAATGGGCTGGATGTGGTGAGAAAACCATCTAGGATGAAGATAGTTTCATGGTATCTGTGTGGTGGGTTATTTACTCACAGAGTGGGAGCTGGCCTATTTTCATGTATTCTTTCTTGCATTCACCCATCCACAGGCATTCAATGAGCACTGTTATGTTCCAGGCACTGTGAACCTATAAATGTAATGGAGCTGCTTTCTTTTTAGTGCCTAGCCTGTCTTGTATCTTTTTGAAACAATTACTTAAAACCCATATGAAGGGATTTACTCACTTTTAGTGTTTTCTTGTCACCCCTCTTGTGATTGGATAGCCTTCCTAATTCCCATCTTCCTCTCTGTCTCCTCTGCTGTCTTTATTGATAATTACTTCTGCCTGAGGCAGCTATTTGAAGAGATCATCAGTTTTCTTAAATTCATTTATTATGGCTCAGTTGGGAATATCCTGGAAAAATGAACTTGCGAGTTCCTATCACACCTTAAAGAGATAGTAATAGTTTGGGTCATGAGTACACAGCTGAGCATAAAACACTGCTGACAGGTCAGAGAAAGCCCAAAAAAGTAAGTGTAGAAAGAAAGAACAGTTTTTTAATATTGAGAACACTGTGCACCCTTTATCTGCAGTTAAATTGAGCATGACTTTCAAGCCATGCCTCCTAATTAATTTAATTCAGTGTTCTGGCATCAATAAGTAATTGAATTATAAAAGAATTCAGTGTAACAATTTAGTACGTTTTGTTGCTGAGGTTCATTGCAGAGTAGAACAATTCAGTGATTGAAATAGGGGTGTTTGATGTTCACAGCTGGGAATTAAGGATAAGGTAAGGACTTTAACAGACCACAAAAAACATGCAGCAGGGTACTGGCTACCCTTCACTATTACTGTCCATTTGGGTTATAGGATATAAGCTTGGTACCAGAACACTCTGAACACCTGGCCTCCCCCACGTAAGGTTCTCCCTATTGCCACTGGAATCAGGAGAACATTACGGAGGGATTGCACTGCTGATCACAACATAGCCCAGAAAGGCTCAGGCTGCTAATCCAAGGGTCAGATATTAGGGCCACAAGATTGAGGAGGCTGAATAATTGGCTTCAATTTAGCTGGGTTAATTTAATCAGAATTTCATGGGATTTATCTACATTTTGGCCTCTTTACAAAGGTTATAGTAAGTAAGTGTAACCATAGTAAGTATAGTGTAAACCATCTCTTAGGGAGCCGAGAATTATGTAAGCCCCTATACTCCTTCCTCTCTATGAGGGAGGGCTACGGGTAAAGCAAGTCAAGAACAGTGTGTCCCTCTCCAATCCAGGTGCCAGGTTTAATGGGGTCATGTACCATGTACCTGAGACTTTAAATGCTTCTTACTCCATGAGGGTTACTCTTGGCCTTATTTTACAGAGACAGTATCTGAGCTCAGACTGGTTAAATAACCACCAGGTTCCAGAGTGTATGAACCTTTGCACTGTGTCATGTTCCTTAATAGAAATGTGGCTGCTGCATCAATAAAACAGTTCTGGAGAGCAAGGAAACACTTGTCCAGAAAGATAGAGCAATAATGAGCAGTAATGAGCACCCAGAGAAAAGACATGGTATAATTCAGTTTATGTTCAGAACAATTCTGAAGAGGAGGCTGTGTGTGTACATCTGTGAGGTCTGTGAGGCTGGCATTATATATCTTCATTTTCCTGATGGGGAAATTGAGGGTCACAGAGGTTTTATTGCTATAGTGTGTGCTCATTATATGTAGGAGTTGCATTTCTGGAAATCATCTCACAGATCAAAAACTTATAAAATGGGAAATGTATAAAACCCAAAATCAGGTAAAATGTTTGCACAGTAGTTTCAGGGTGAATTTTTCTGTGTTATTAACACTAATGTTCAGATTAGATTGGGCTCTCTTGCAAAATGAATCATGACTGTTACACCTTAACCCCTTTAAATCTGCTCAGCTCTGTTTCCTGCTCATTGTCAGAACTGAGCTCACTTCTGTAAAACCAGTTTAGCCTTGAACTTCACTTCTGAAGGATGGGATTGCCACTTTCAGCTTCATTTATTATTAGTTGTTTTTTTCTTGTTTTGTAACTACACTTAAACAAATGTAAAAATCCAGCCGAAGCCCAAAACAAGCACTTGGGTATGTGCAATTGTGAACTGCTTGGGAGCAGAAGGAAAGAAAGTCCTGGCACATGAAGTATTGGAGGGTGTTGAAGGCTTCTTAGTAGTTTACTGCATTCTTACATTGAGGAAATATAAAAACTGCGGAAAAAAAAAGAAAAGCAAGTACAGGGAAAGTCAGCTGTATATAGTATGTAAATGATTTCTTATTGTTCTCAGTGGGCTCTAAATGAATCTTGAAGAACCAATTCTCTTAAATTTTGTTTACTTTTGTCAGTGTCTTCTGTTATTGGACTGTGTTATTGAGTGTTGTAGACTATGAATAAGAATGAAACCTTAAAAATAGCAGTAGTGTGGAATTTGGGGTTCAGTTCAGTTTCTGTAGTTTGAATTTCTGTTGTCTGGAGTGTGGTTAGGAGCATAATTTCTTTCATGTGTTTGTGAAGAAGGATAAGCTCTGAAACCTATTTCAGTTTGTGTTTTGCTTTAGTTATGAAATGGATACACCTATTTTAAGGTAGAGTGATTTATAAAAAACAACAGCTAGTCAATTTGTATGAACTTCAACTGGAGGTAAGATCTACATCTTTTGGCAGGGTCTTTAGAATAGATGGAAATAGCCTTGAAACTTACAAACATTGGAGTTTTCTAGGGCAGTCATAAGTTTTTTAGGACTAAGATATTTGTTGAAAAAGAAGAGTTTGTGAGTTAAGCTTATTAAGTAGAGTATTAGGGGGGCCAGGAAGGGGCAGAGATTACTATTAGATTTAGAACACAATCTTTTTGTTGTTGTTGTTAATCACTCTGTTTCTAAGCTGTTAATAACCTTAAAGCAGATAGGGGTAACTTTGCTTTCTTTTTATAATGGAAAAGAAAACAAAAAAAAATTCAGACAGTGCATGTGTTACATGACAAATTCTGAGGCAAAAGGAGTAAGTTTAATTGCTTGTACAAACTAAGGTAGATGAGAAATGGAAGAATAAGATACTTCTAGAGTTTTAGGGAGAAAATGAATTTTTAAAAGCACGTGTAATTTTATTTCCACATTAAATATCAGCAGAATGGGGCACATTATTAGGCTTTTCATTTTATTGTAGAAACTGTCATTTTGTGTAATTTCAGTTTTCAGCTACATTGTGTGTGGATGGGTGGGCAGGAGGATTCACCAGGAAGACCAGTTAGGAAGAATGTTTATTTTTCCAGTTCTTAAAAGAATTAAAGTAATTTTTCCTTTGAATATGTATTACAACTAATAGTTTCACAATCTTTTAAGGTAAAAGTCAGGATTTCCCCCCATTGCTATTCTGTTTGCTGACTAGGACCAGAAAATGACAGAGAGAAAAATGAAATTTGGTAAGGAATTACACGGCTGGCTCGCTAGACTTCCAAGACTTTCCCTGTGTTGGAGAGGAACAGGTGGATGTTTATATGGCAGTAGTTGGAGAACACTGTGAGTCTCAGGTTTTGATCAGAAAGGGATTCTTTAAAGCCTGCAGCAGAGCCTATCTTGCTTCAGTGGATACATTGCCTTCCTTTGTGGTGAAAGCTCCCTCTGCCTCCCCCTTATAAGGACACCTGTGGTTACAGTTAAGGTTCACCCGTGTAATCCAGGATAATCTCCCCATTTCAAGATCTGTAACTTAATTAAGTCTGCGAAGGCCCTTTTGATGTAAGGGGACATACTCATAGGTTCTGGGGAACAGGAAGTAAATATCTTTGGGTCCATTATTTAGCCTATGATAGGTACGAAGGACTTAGGCACCTGTGTGATCCATGGTTAAAAGCTACTAGCATAATTATAATAGCTGTATAACTGTAAAATTTAAGTTTTTTTTTTTTTTTTTGGTTGTCATTTAAAAAGAAAATTGAGATATTTCAGTGGTAGAGAAAATATTAATTTGGTATAACCACAATATTTCTAGGCATGAAAATACCATAAAGTTAAGTTCAGCATACATGGAAGTCATAAGGGCAGGCTTTAGGGAGGTGCCATGGAGATTGACAAAATTCTAGGAGACACAAAGTGAAGGGCCTTCTTGAAAGGCAAGATAACAGGAGCAAGGTCCAGAGATAGGAATCTAGGGACTTTGGTCAGAACATAGTGTAAATCTAGGGACTTTGGTCAGAACATAGGGTTAGTTGAAGCAAGGAGCTAGGAGAGAAGAAGTGGAGTGGTCAGCCGGCCCTAGGTGTTGGATGGAGGAATTTGTAATTCAATTTGTTTGTCAGCCTGAGAAAGCAGTGTAGGATGATTTGGTACAAGAAGGAAACCACTATTGCAGAAGCCAGAGAAAGGCCTGACTTAAGGGGATGGTAGTGTGAATGGAAGAGGAAGAAATTCTGGAGCATTGTAGTGGGAGTTTGGCAATTGAATATTAAGTATGAAGCAGGGAGGGGAAAAAATGGAGTGGAAGGTGACTTTAAAATTTTAAGCTTGGATAACAGGAGCAACAAGGTTGTTTGCGATACTATGCTTTACAGAATGCCTATGTGTTTAGGGGTTTAGGAAAAGAAGGAATATTCCTTTAATGAAGGAATAAGCAGAGATATGGGAAAAGCACCAGGACTATGAGGTGTCTGAGAGGTAAGGGGAAGAGAGGATTTGAGAAGGAGATTGGTTCAGCAGGTTCAGATGCTATCGAAACACAGGACAGGATAAAGGCCATTGAGTAGGGCTGTGTCAGGGGTCCCCAAACCATCCTTAGCCTCATTGATCTGCTAGAAGGACTTACAGGACTCAGAAAAGCTGGTTGCAATTTATTACAGCAAGTTGGATACAGATTGGAATCTGCAAAGAGATAATGTGTGTGGAATGAAGTCCAGGACAAGCCAGGAGCAAGGTTCCAGGTGTCCTCTCCCAGTGGAGTCACACAGACATGCTTACTTCTCTTAGCAGTAATGTGTGACAACACATGAGAAATGTGGACAATGAGGAAAGCTCACTTGAGCCTCGGTGTCCAGAGTGTTGACTGCGGTTCAGTCATGTAGGCATGTAGCACCCACATGACTGATTTCAGCTGCCCCCAGAGCAAGAAGATTCACTATAAATTACAGTTAGCATAAACCATTTAATCAACGGGTACTGTGTGGCCCAAGGCTTCAGACATGCCCAAAACATTCTTTTTTTTTTTTTGAGACACTGTCTCTTGGGCTATCGCTTGGGATATGTCCACCCTTCAAGTTCTGAAACACTGGATTGAGTCAACATGTCAGGATCTGTGTATTACCCATCCTTTTCCCTCTGAGACTAGTACAGTGCCTTGAGCTTAGTAGGTGCTCAGAGAATGATTGTTGAATGATGAATGAATGCAGAGAATGTCTGTTGAATGGTGAATGGATGGAAATCTTTAAAAGTTATATCTTCTTCTTGAGAAAGAATGTGGACTCCCTAGATGATTATTGGAAAGTTTATTCGGCCTAATGATCATATGTTCTCTGCAGGTCTATTTATTAATGCCCATTTCACATAGCAAAATGTACTGATCTAGCTGACATATAGTTAGCGTGTCTACTTGAACAATAGAATATTTTTTTAAAAGGATAAGTAACTGAGTACAAGAAAGGTTTGAAAAATGTGATGGATTTTAGAGGAATGTATCAAGTTAGGTTTGGAAAACTTTATACAATACACATTTACTTATATAATACAAATTTATTCATAAATTATATCATTTTAGTATGGTCTTTATAATGGTTATTGCCTGTGTTTCCAGGTGGTACCTTAAAATAGTAGTTCCTTGCTGCTAGTACTGAAGAGTCTATTAAAGAAAAACTCTGTAACAGATGTGCTGGGCCCTGTGTGAATTGATGTCTGTAATAGTGGCTTTTATATACCAGAAATCAGATAGCTAGGAAGCAATTTTAATGTTCTTTTAGGTTCTTTAAAATGGGAATACATTCAGGTTTCTGTTGTTGAGGCTGTTGAGCAGCCATCCAGGTATGAAAATGAGAAAGATTTGACTGCATCTCTCGTGAAGAAGAATAAAACAAGGGCCTATGCAGAAAGTAGGGGGAGAGAGAGACAAGTTCGCTTCAGAGAGATTCATCTGCACCCAGTTCTGTTCTACTCTGCTCTTCTCATCTGTGCACTTCTGCCCCCTGCAGAATGAATCAGCCTGACGTTTTATCAACTTTTTGAAAAGTGGGGTGAACTGGTGTGGAACACATCAGAGGGGTGAAGCCGAGCAAATCTGAAAGAGAGCAGAGCATTTCATCTGATATCCTCTGAGTGCTCTCCCCTTCCTTCTTAGGGAGCCAGAAGAGGCTGAATTGATGTCCATTCAATTTCAGTTCATCTTGCTACCTTCATGTTACACTGATACTAATATATTTGAAATAAGAAAAGAGCAGTTCAGGCAGTTACTGTGTCATACGCAGTCATCAGTTTTTTTGCAACCCTATAAACACACGGGATTCCAGTGTTTACTTTGACTTGGACTTACCTCAAAATGACCTTCTGTGGATTAAGTGTATAACTTTTTAATTAATTACTGATTTTATATATACATGGTACTGTTGCTTTGAAAGTTCATAAGAGTTTATTAGAGGTTTAAAGAATTATCAACTAAGTCTGGGTAGAAACCCATTGTGTGATAGAAAACCTTTCTGATATTTTAATAAAAAGTGATGATAGCAAGTACAAATGCCAGTTGAGTCCTGAGTGCTGGTGTGCTGAGTACATGAATGTATGTGTATGGATGAAGGAAATAATCTGTAAATCATGGCTTTCTTAGTATTATATGTCTCTTCCTAAAGTAACTCAGCATTTTATCGTGAAAAATAAATTGACATTTGAAACAAAATTTTTAACTTGTTAGTGTTGCATTCAAATTGAATTATGTACAGCTAATGATTGTTTTTGGATGCCTTCCAGAGACAGATGGAACCGTGTTCAGAATTCACACAAAAGCTGAAGGACTTTCGGATGTGGATATACCCTTAGAATTGGTGTTCCATTTGCCGGCCAATTACCCTTTGTGTCTTCCTGGCATCTCCGTTAACTCTGAAGACCTGACCAGGGCCCAGTGTGTGACTGTGAAAGAGAAGTTACTAGAGCAAGCAGAGAACCTTTTGTCAGAGCCTATGGTTCACGAGCTGGTTCTCTGGATTCAGCAGAATCTCAGGTACATCCTTAACCACCCAGAAACTGGAAGTGGCAGTGAAAAGTGTACTTTTCCAACAAGCACGACTGTGGATGATGGATTGTGGATAACTCTTTTGCATTTAGATCACATGAGAGCAAAGACTAAATATGTCAAAACTGTGGAGAAGTGGGCTTCAGATTTAAGGCTGACAGGAAGACTGATGTTCATGGGTAAAATAATACTGATTTTACTACAAGGAGACAAAAGCAACATCAAGGTGCCAAAAAGTTAAATGTCGGATATGAATCTGGCTATTTTCTGTTTAAAATGATTTGTCTTTTAAGTATGTTTTATAACAATGGGATAGATTAATCATTGAGATGTTTCTGCTTTCACTATTACCATGTTAATGGATCTTCATTTTCTTTTTTAAGAGTGTCTAACTCCTAATTGCAACTATAAACTTTCAAAGCTTGAAGAATAAGATCAGATTTTAAAAATCATGCCACTTAATGAAAGTGGCGGGTTATAAAAAAAAATCTGTGGCACATGAGTGTTTGTTTCTGTAATTAGCTATGAGCCTCAACTTTATGAATGTGCACTAAAAGTTTGTGCATATTAATATTTCTTTCCATAGTTAGGCACAGCAAGGTGTATATTTGTGGGTAGTCTGCAAGATTTGTAACTTCTGGCAGTTAAAAATACATTCTGACACTTTAATTTGGTATCTATAATACCTGGAAAAAGGAGCTTGTCCCTTATAACCAAGATTTCGTGTTAGTAGAAGCAGAATCATTAGGGCTGTCAGCTTGTCACCTCCTACCTAACTTTTGCTTTCCACTTGACTTGTCTCAGCAGCTGCTTTCAAAATCATCATCTTCTTAAGATTTTTCAAGTTCTTATTCTACACTCATCGAACCTGTTCTATGAGGGACCAGATGAGGAAAACTGCTTATTATATTTTAAATCTTAGGAGAGCTACAAATCACTTAATAGATTTTGTACTTTCAGATAGGATGGGTCAGGAATAATTATATTTGAAGTTATTTAAAACAAATTTCATGTGAACAACCTGTAATCTTAAAGATTTGTAGAATAATGACCTAGTTTTTTAATGATGAGGTCTTACCACAAAACTACTTTGGCATTTGATTAACTGGATTCATGCTGGATTATGGTATATAGATACAATAATAATTCAGATTTAATATAAATCCTGGATAGGGGCCTGACCAAGGAACCGTGTATTTTAAGGTAATTTGTAGTACATCTATAAAATTTGATCCTTTTGAGTAAAATACTAGATAACAAAAAATGAATACAAATTTATTTTCTTGCTCTTATTTACCTAAAAGGCTCAGATTTTTCTTTAAGCCAGCTCTAGCTTATTAGGCTAAATGCAGCTCTTTTGTAGATGTTACTCAGATTGAATCATCAATTAATTAAAAATATTTATTCATAAGACTAAAACTCTGCTAATGGAGAGAAATGGTACTTTTCTGAGAATTCCTTTTTTTGCTTTCTTTAAAATGCCATTTTATGTAAATTTCTCTGTTAAATATTTGTAAGATTGTATATTAGGATTGAGAGTGTTCAGATACATATTTATAGATGCTGTCAACTTGGAATGGTAAGTACTGTGTGCCTGATAAGTTCATTCAGCTGCTGAATTAGTAATAACAACAATAGCTTGTGCTCTGTTGTGTGCCATAGCACCCTATACCAGGTACTCCTCTGGGTGCTTTGCATGTATTATCTTATTTAAACCTTACAAATTTCCCATGAGGTGGATCTTGTTATGAGTCCTGTTTTATGGAGGAGGTAACTGAGGCACAGAAGACTGAAACAGCCAGCTCAGAGTCTGGTAGTAGGCAGTCCACTGCATATTTAAACTCAAGTTGTTTGATTATATCGCTCTTTACTTCTGTGTTCTCCACTATGTTGTTCTGTCAAGTATATAAAGACACTGTGTAACTCTCTTAACTGCTTGATTCAGAGTGTACTCTGTAAGCATGAAAATAAGCCTGCAAGTTTATGGCTCCTTTAAAGCTAGGACTTTAAGGTTCAGAGTAAGATAATGTATTTAATGTACTGATTTATCATTTAGGAGTACCTGATTCTTCAGAAAACCTCCAAAGTAGATGTGGACTCAAGTGGAAGGAAATGCAAAGAAAAAATGATTAGTGTACTATTTGAAACAAAAGTACAGACGGAACACAAAAGGTATAATTTAGTACTATTGCAGATAGAAAAGCAACTGAATCGGTAATTATACTCTGACAAATCTAGGCATATTCATGAGTTTCTCTCGTATAATGCAGGTTTTTGGCATTTGAAGTCAAAGAGTATTCATCGTTGGATGAATTACAAAAGGAATTTGAAACTGCAGGACTTAAGAAGCTTTTCTCCGAATTTGTACTTGGGCTGGTAAAATGAAATGGAAGACAGGAATCTTTTAGTAAAATAGCAGTGTTGTTGTTTTTATATTGGATTTTGGGAGTGGCTAATTGAAATAGTCACAGGGAGCAATTTTAAAGTTTCTCTGAAGCAAAATGATAGACATCATCTTAACTTTAGGAACAAAGCTAGTTCTGGTTTATAAAGTAGTAAACATTAAAAAACCTCATGTATTCTAATGTTTGCCAGGAAAGACTAGGTTCAATAGATGAAACATTATTTAAAGGATAAATTTTAAAAAGGTGATGGTAAATTGGCTCTTGTTTTTATAGAGAGAATTTGTTTGGAACTATGCAATTTTCTGGCTAATGTTCTTGTAAATAAATGATTTTTTAAAAAGATTTCATGTTTACTTTTCTTCATGTTTACATTTTTAGCATTTCATCACCATTTCCCCCCATTCGGCTTATTATGTCTAATGTTTTAAGTTGGATGTTAAGAAAAATGTAACACTGATTTTTTTTTTCTTTTATGGAATAGTATAAATTGTTAGTTTAAATACAAAACAAAGAAGTTCTATAGAACCTGATTAACAATTGCTTCTTTGGGGTTCCAGATAGCATGCTACATGATAGCTCTAGAACTGTAGAGTCGATTTAAATTAATATTCTTATTTGAAAAATTTACTTTCTGGTTTTACAAGGGAGAAATGTTCACACAGAATGAACTTGGTTTGCTGTATGGAGGAAATTTTATCAAGATACTGTTTTTTTAATTTCTTTTGAAATCTATTAAAGCATGATAAAATATATTTATTATGATCTAAGGAGAGAAGAAACCATATTAAAATTTACAACAAAAATATAAGTAGGCATTTGTGTCTGAGAAAGGATATTTGTGTGCAGGAAGCCATCAGGGCTGCAAAAATAAGGGGCTGAGTCATGGAAGAAAGGACAACTAAATCCCTCTCACTGCAACCTGTGAAGTACAGTGATGCCATTATAATGTTATAACTGACGGAGAAGAGAAGTGAGGGGAACACTGTGGCATGCTGAGGAGTGTTTTTTGACGGTGCTGCTCTCTTAATGATGGCAGTTCAATCTGATTGTTTTCAGGTACCCTTGTAATTATATACCCACCTTTTGCTTATTTTATGGGGTTATATTAAGGAGGGGGGATTTTCAGTTTGATTTTTTTTTTTTAAATCTCATAGGGTGCCTGTGATTTTTTACTGGAGAACTGGTAGATGTAGTTAGCTTGTTGTATGGGAAGAGCACATATGGCAAGGAGAAGCCACCCTACTGGTATGCTGAGAAAATCGGCTTGAAAATTTTTGGCTGGTCATTATTACCCCTTCATTTGATTTACTGTCGTTGTAGTGAAAATTAAAATAATGAAAAAGAATAAGATTGAGAATGCTGTCCATATGGTTGAGAAGGATTGAGGAAGATCATAATTTAATAACATGAAAAGTTACTGCCATCAAGGCCATAACAGCAGCAATGGTAGAAGGCTGGGTTTGAACTTTATCGCAGCGGAACTTCTAGATTTTACCATGCCTCTTCTCTGCAAAAATATCTTCCTACTCATGCTTTATGGTACACTTTTAAACTTTCATCTTCCAATTTGACTCTCTATCCCTAAACAAAGCTTGAATCAGGTCAAATTAAGTGTTAGCTGTAATGAGTTTTTTAAATTTAATTATTTTTCAATCTGCTAAAATTATGTAAAAACAGTATTGGTTATTATTACTTTCTTGGATGTTTACATCTGTCTTTCACAAATACCTATACTACAGAATGAAAAGCTAAACCCTGACAATGTTAGCAATTTCTATAAATGTAATTTCATCTCTGCATAAAAGAAAATTTAAAATTATATACTAAAAAGCTATGAGTCTGTTTGGTATTTCTTTAGTTTTAGTATTTGAGGAAGAGAATCTCAATTGTTTCCATTGATATTTTTGCCTCAAACTCTATTGCTTTCTTTTCAGCTTGAGATACTTATGAAAAGATAATTAGGACTTCTGCTTCAGTAATGTCACGCAGACCAGCTTCTCCCTGAAGAAAACTAAAAACAAAACACAAAACACATGCTCTTAAAAGTATCGAAGAAGATAGTGAGCATTGTTGTGCTAACCCTGGGGGAGGCGAGGAATCCAGAAAAGTAAACTCAGCACTTGGGGCTAATTTTTCCTAGGGTGCATTTGCCAATCTGGAAGGTTTAGCTGAAGGGCTTAGTTGATTTTGGGCAGCTTGAAGATCTAGGGAGTAAAAATTTGGGGTCTGGAGGATAGAAGAGGTAGGGACTCCTGAAGGATTACACTGTAGAAATAAGGGTGAACTGTTAATAAACTAGTCGTCCGGAGTCAGAGGGGAAGACGTGGTGATGGAAGCAGAGGCCAGAGTGTGGTGGCGGCTGGCTTGCAGGTGAAGGGGCCATGAGCAATGGAATGTGGAAAAGATAGGGATGAATTCTTCCGAGAGCCTCCAGAGGCTCAGACCTGCAAACACCTTGATTTTAGCCCCATAAAACCCATTTCAGACTTCTGACCTCCAAAATGGTAAGAAAATTTGTGTTATGTTAAACAGTTATGTTTGTGCTAATAGCAGCAATAGGGCACTAATATGGGAATATTTTGTTAATCTTTTAGTACTTTTAGTCTCCTGTTAAGTCAGAATTCAGCATTTGAATAATTATATATCATGTTGTTATAAACAATTTTCCTTTACTATAGCTACAATTTGAGCATTCTGGTAGGTCCAGAAAATCTTAAACCTTGAATTTGGATTGTGATAATTCATGATTCTAATGCTGTCAAATCCTCAAAATTTGAGCAAGATAACATCCTCCTAGGACTCAAATTATATCTATGAACTATTTAAAAATTCAGTATCCAGCGAACAATCAGAGGTAATTTGGTACATGAAGAGACAGAGTGAGAAACAAGAAAAACAATAGGCAATAGAGGTAGTCCTACAGGGACTTCAGACGCTAGAATTATCAGGCATAGATTATAAAACAGTTATGCTTAAAATGTTCAAGATGATAAAAACCAAGCTTGAAACTGAAATCAGAAATTGTAAAGGTAGCATGGCATATTTGAACAAAACAATAAATAGAATTTCTAGAACTGAAAAATGCAAGAATTCAAGACATGGTCAATCAGTTCAGGTCTAGTTAGGAAATCAGAAACCAGTCTAGGTACTTCAAATAGAATAAATTTTAAACAGATATTGGTTACAAATTCAAAAGGCTGGAAGAGGGAAAGAGTGGGGCTGGAGGAGAGAAAAGAAAAAGAGAGGAAGGTGAAATACTTAAGAGTTCAGAAACTGCTAAGAGCCTGTATCTGCTGTTGCACTACTGGAGACTGCTGTCATTGGTCCTAGATCTGCTCAAATGCTACCTAGACCAGAGCTAAAAATTGCTGATCTCTGGTCTGTTGAAATTTGGAATCACTCTACCCTTGCTGCCACTGTAACTGCCAACAACTACCACAGTGCTAGAACCTGTGCTACCTTCTCATCACCCAAAAGTGCCTCTCATGGACAAACCTAACAGGAATTGAGCTGGCAAAGAAGTCTGGGAAATATAGTTTGCAGACTCTCAACCTTGGGAGAACAGAGAAGACTACAGGAGGATGGGTGTGTGTGTGTGTGTGAAGTGGGGGATAAGGAGCTTAGTGCCCATAGTAAATAACCAGCATTGTCCTCCCTTTTAGCTATTAAGTATCCAAACACATCCTACCCATATTTAAATTTAAATTTTTATGCAGCAACAACAGTTTTATGTTTCTGTCTATGTAGATTTGACATCTTTTGTACAAGAAGAAACTCACCTTTTCTCCAAAAAGGGGAGAAACAAGTCCCACCAGTTACTATTATCCTTATTGGTGTTAATTCTTCTAGTTCAGCCATAATCCCATCTAGATATTCTGGGGCCTGAAGGTTAAGTTGTGAAGTTCACTACCACCAACACTCCTTGCATAGCATGATAGGGGGAAGGAGGAAGGAAAAAAATAGTTGCTGTATACAAAGATATAGAGAACACACAATGAAGCAGATTTGCATAACTACTTTGCTAGTTTCTATAACTGGTCACAAAGCTATAGTTGATATTTATAACTTCTTCCTCTATTTGATTTTTGTTCGGTCCTGGACAGCACTTCAGGTGGACAGAATTCTTTACCTAAGTAGGGTAGCTGAATTTTTATTCTAGGTGGGCCTGAGTCCTTAGTAGTTGGGTTGTTTATTAACTTTCACTATAAAATGAGAGAGTCGTAAGAGGCAAACCAGAGAATCCTCTGGGGTTCTGACATAGTCTTGTTTGACCCCATTGTGTAGCAGCAACACAATCTCACTGTAATAATCTAGATCAATCACTCCAGCCAATATAGGAACCTGTCTCTTTGCTTGCTGGTTTAGTGTCATGAGAAGCCTAATATATCTAGGTGTCAGTCTCAACTTCCAATTCATTTGAACCATTTTATGTGCCTGGTAGAAGCATTCTTTCCTTGTGAACTAAGACCTCTAAACTATCAAAGCCCAAGGTTACAGGGATGAGAATAAAAAATTCTGTGAGAGAGTTAAGTATAATAGTGAGAGGAATAAGTCTTGTTTTTATCACTTGATTCCTGAATTCATGTATTCTGGCACTGGGAGAAATAAAATCATATGTTGATCACTGGTTCAAAGAACATGCTACATCTTATATGATGGCATCTAAATCTCTCAGGGGCTTGTCTCCCACCTGGGCTAATAACTGAGTCTTAATAGGTCATTATATTATTCTATCAAGTCAGCCACTTCTGGGTGACCTGGTATGTAGAAAGACCTATGAATTTCATAGTCATAAGCCTATTGCTATATTTCTTTTGTTATGAAATAAATTTCTTATTTAGAAGTTATATTGTAAGGGTTACCATGTCTGTAAGATCATGGTTTGTAGTATTATAGGAAGGGATTTCAGATTCATACCCGGAAGAAATATCTATGTAGTGAGGTCAAATTTCTGGCCTTTCCATTAGGGAAGGGATCCAGTGTAATTAACCAGCTACCAGGTAGCTGGTGTTTCCCAGAAAGTGAGGCCCTCTTGGTGGCTCAGTATTGGTTTTTGTTCTTAGCGGATTAGGCACTCAGCAATGACAGTTGCAAAATAAACATTGATGAGAGGACTGCATGTTGTTGTGTCCATGCATATGTACTTTGTACATGAGCCCACTGAGCAGGAGAAAGAGCCTGACACCCCCAGGATGAGTCAGCCCATCCATTTGATTAATGAAGGCCTTCTCTGCTGTGGTTGCCCTTTGATAAACATCACATGGGACACAAGTATTTTCACATTTTGTGCTTATCCCGAGAGGTCCATTCATACACCTCTGCCCCAGTTTTCCTTGTTATCA